GAAACTTAAGATAGCAAAATGATCAGCAAGACAAAATCTACAAATAAGATGGCATGTCTGAAATCTTCAGTGGATTCGTGATTGGAGTTATTGCCTTAAAGATGATTTTTACCATTTTTTTTTAGTTTTTAGATATAAGAAGATGTGGTATGAGTGCCAATGAGACAACTCTCCATCCAAGTCAAAATTTATAAAAGTAAACCATTATAGGTCAAAGTACGGTCTTTAACACGGAGCCTTGGCTCACACCGAACAGCAAGCTATAAAGGGCCCCAAAAATTACTTGTGTAAAACCATTCAAACGGGAAAACCAACGGTCTAATCTATATAAAAAACGAGAAAGGAGAAACACTTATGAATCACATCAACAAACGACAACTACTGAACATCAGATTCCTGACTTAGGGCAGGTGCAAACAATTGCAGCGGGTTTAAACGTTTTAATGGTACCAAACCTTCACCCTTATCTGAAACAATAGTGTAACATCACAACATAGAAAGACACACTATCAAATATCAATTGAAATGGCTTAACTCAATCAAAAGACATATTAACACCAGTGAACGTACACTGAACAAATAAATGTGATCTATGATACAATGTAAATATTATCTTATAATAGATACAAATGAAGACAGGAAGTTAAAAAAGCAAAAATGATCAGCAGGACAAGATCTACAAATACGTCAACATGACTGAAATTGTCAATTAACTCTTTATAGACTCAGTGCCTTTTCATGATGATTGTTACCAAAAAGTGGCCATTGTTGAAGATGCAGGTGAGCGACACAGACTTTTTAGAGCTTCTAGTTTTCTTTCTGTTGATATTTCCCTGTTTGCAATATGGTGTTCATCATTACTATATATCATGGCTTCTGTGAACTTTTCGCTTGTTCTGGTCCTGGTGCTGTCCCTGTACGGAGGTAGTTTAAAGCAGCCTCTATTTCGCCTGTTCTGGTCCTGGTGCTGTCCCTGTACATTGGGAAGTTTACAGCAGCCTCTATTTCGCCTGTACTGGTCCTGGTGCGGTCCCTGTAGTACGGAGGTAGTTTACAGCAGCCTCTATTTCGCCTGTTCTGGTCCTTGTGCGGTCCCTGTGCGGAGGTAGTTTACAGCAGTCTCTATTTCGTCTGTTCTGGTCTTGATGCTATCCTGTACGGAGGTAGTTTATAGTAGCCTCTTTTTCGCCTGTTCTGGTCCTGGTGCGGTCCCTGTAGTACGGAGGTAGTTTACAGCAGCCACTATTTCGCCTGTTCTGGTCCTGGTGCGGTCCCTGTACGGAGGTTGTTTATAGCAACCTCCATTTCGCCTGATCTGGTCCTGGTGCTGTCCCTTTACGGAGGTAGTTTATATAGCAGCCTCTATTTCGCTTGTTGTGGTCCTGGTGCGGTTCCTGTACGGAGGTAGTTTATAGCAACCTCTATTTCGCCTGTTCTGGTCCTGGTGCGGTTCCTGTACGAAGGTAGTTTATAGCAGACTTTATTTCGCCTGTTCTGGTCCTGGTGCGGTCCCTGAACGGAGGTAGTTTATAGCAACCTCTATTTCGTCTTTGCTGATTTTTTCTGTCAAATCCATCACTTTCCTGTTTTGCTTCACTTGTTTCTTTTTAATGATTCTTTAAGTATATATAATCTGTGTTGATCTCTCTAAAGAATTTGTTATCAAAAGAGTCAACCCTCAAGTGACTGCCTCCAAAGGAGATCTTCAGTAGGATATCTTCTTTACCCTTATTATCGAATATAGGGTCCTGATTGTCTACAATTAGTGGTAGTGTTGAATTATCCTCTGTGTATCCCATGATCTTTTTATATGTATTCCAAAAATCTTATTGGTGGTAGGAGGGCTAGATGCACTGAAAACTGAGCTTCAAATGTTTATAACGTGTAGTTTCAGTTATTAGCATGGTTTAACTCATTTGCCAGGTTATTGCTCCAGTTTTCTTGTGCCTCTTCTTTTTCTCATTCTATATTGTTTTGGCAGTGATTGAGACGTGTTTTTTCTAGCAGCTGTAACATTGCTTTTCTATTCCACCGCCATGTTTTTTGCGCACGCTTTCTTGGTTTAATTTCATTATAAAGGATCAATTCTTCCTATGTTTTACTAATGATGTCTGAAAATGTTTGATATGATCAACTGAGAGGCTGTCACCTGGCTTGTTTTCTAGCAATTCTCCAAATCTTACTGCTGTTGTACGCTTCCACGCTCCCTAATCTACTCTTTAAACATGTTAAAGTTGTCATTCCTTTTTTAGCGTTCCTCATTTGTCATCTGTACAAACACTTAGATTCGTCAAGAAACTCATATGGTAAGATATTTTGTTCTCGTGTGTATAAGTATGTCACAACTGATAAAATTATATGTTGGCAACTTCAGTTCATCCGTATTAAATATATTGCTGACTCTGAATTACTTCTGTTGATTGGCCATATCATTTACGCATATCATACATTGCTTTGTCAACATATTTTCTATAATGTCTCCGGCTTTGTTAGATTTAATGTTCCTCCATTCTTGACTTTTTGTCTTTTATGTCTCCTGCTATTTATTATTACGTGTATACTGCTTTTATTTTTTACCATAATTATACCCCCGCTTTAAGAAAGTGGGGGTATACTGTTTTACCTCAGTCTGTCCGTCCGTCCGTCCGTCCACCCATCCGTCAGTCCATCCGTCAGTCCGTCAGTCCGTCCCATGAATATTTTTCGTCACATCTTTCTCAGGAACTACATTACAAGGATTTCTGAAATTTGGTTTCAGGATTTATATGAGTCAGCTATACCGTGTGATGCGTTTTCAGATTCATCACTAAACAACTTCCTGTTTACCTTATACTTTTAGCTGGGCGGGGGTATCATTAGTGAGCAGTAGCTCACAGATTCACTTGTTTTTTTTTCTATTTGATCGTGTCTTTCATGGGGTATGTATGGACACAGAAGATAAAAATTTATGCCTGTGTATGTTGTAATAATGATGACTACTGATTCACATTCTGGGCTGTTTTATTGGTCTGTTTTGATGACATTACATTTTAAGTTGATTTCTCTTACACAAATTGCAACTCCTCCTCCTTTCTTTCCTAATCTGGGTTTATCAAAGAAACCCCAATTTAAAAACAAATTAGCTTCGTATTCCAATTTGAAAAGTTTTCTTTTGAACAGACTAAAATTAAAGTATAATCAGTTGTGGTATTCGTCTTTAAACGATGACAGAAAAAAATATGTCATTTGGAAATAAAAATATAGACTTTTTAAGAGAAATATAAGGAATCAGAGAATTCAGATGACAAAATTCAGAATAAGTAACCATAATCTTGAAATACATGTAGAGAGAGGTAGATACAGGGGACTTCAGGCAATAGATAGAATTTGTAATATTTGTAAAAAAGAAGTGGAAGACGAACTCCACTTTCTACTAAAATGTTCATCTCTAGAAAGTGTCCATCATTTCAAATATAGCTAAAAGTTACAAAATGTTTCACAATTTAGATTATTATTCACAATTTATCTGGCTAATGTTCAATGAAGATAGTCACATATTTAATCAAGCGTGTAATTTAATTAATAATTTAAATGTTGTTCGAAAACAACTATTAGAAACTTAGTAAATTTATTAATTTTACTGGTAAGAAGACACACGTTTCTTGTATGAATACATGTATGCATAATTTAGCTATTTATAATTGTGGTTGTTGTTATTATGTGCTTATGACAGCACCAGGAAAAACAGTGAATATTTTAATCAAGTTTTCTATATTTTTAGGATTACTATATTTGTCAATGTGAAAACAAATAATATTTATATAAATATACATTATTGTGTCTTTTTCTTTTCTTTTCATTTTAATCATAGATTTAGTTGTAATCAAATCATTGTAATAATTGTACCAAATTTAACTTGATTATTCCGCCTGTAATAGGCGTCTTTAATTGACAATAAAATATTTGAACTTGAACTTGAACTATTAACATCTCGAAAGAAAAATTCCATTTAAACAAAAAAAGCATAAATATCATATGTGTGGGTCTGGGTGGTGTTTGAAGAATGGAGAAAAATGGGGGAAAGAGAATATAAAATACTTGGGTACAAAAATGTGTAAAATAAAAGAATTAGGTTATACAATGCTGATTACAGAAATGAACGATTTACAGAGAAAAGAAATCATATAATCACAGAAAAAATCATTGTAAAATTGTTTTCTTGCGAAATTTACAGAATAAACGTTAAAAAAGAAATAAAGAATAATGCAAGAAGACCCTCATCTGTATATATAATATCAGAAGTCCATTAATGGACTTCTAATAATATTTACAAATTTATACACTTGTATGCCGTGTTAATTGGTTGGCTATTAATCAGAAGGATGTTCAACCTTATGGTACTGAGCTGTTGGTATCCTTTGCATGTTTAATCTCTTTAGTAATATTGTAGATACTTTTAAAATAAAGTAGTTTTTGTCACGGTGTTTTGGGGTAAATCTATTAATACAGGCTTATTGTGAAATTTATACTATATTGTAATGTCTTATTGTTGAATAAATAACTTCAATCATTGTATATGATTTATATGCTCTTTATGGGCCCTGTAATTTGGAAAAATAAAATATTCTATTCTATACACCTTATCGCTATTTGTCCGCCATTACTGGACATCACACAAGTTCCCGTAAAATTTTGACGTCATAATAGAAAATATCTGACGCCACAATGGAAAAGTGATTGTTGTATGACGTCAAAAGTTCGAGCGGGACTGATTCTCGGGTCAAGCGGGATTAGCGATAAGGTGTATTCTAAACACAGGTTATTAAAGGTGGTTAAACGAACGCAATCGGTCGCATCCCTTACAACATTATAAAACACATAAAATTAAACGGTTTGTGTAACTTCAACGATTTTATCGTTTACATCTATTTCAAAATATTTCGCGATTGCGATGTATAGTGCTTATATACTCATAAATTTGGATTAAGCAGTTGACATGTTTTCATTTTTATGTTTGTAATGATATAAGCGATATTTGTAAACATGCTAAAATTTTGAGAAAACTTGGAGGTCATGGGGAACGTGATTGCAAATTTACCAGCGGCTAATACCGAGAAAAGTCAACGTCCTGTTACCTATTCTTTCCTTCCCAAAACCATGATAGGAGGACCTTATGGTTTGGGTATGTAGTTCAACATTTCTACAACTTCTACAAGTCTAACAATACACCTTATCGCTAATCCCGCTTGACCCGAGAATCAGTCCCGCTCGAACTTTTGACGTCATACAACAATCACTTTTCCATTGTGGCGTCAGATATTTTCTATTATGACGTCAAAATTTTACGGGAACTTGTGTGATGTCCAGTAATGGCGGACAAATAGCGATAAGGTGTATGATTGTTGCATAATTGTTCGATGATAATTTATATGTTGAATAACCTCTTTGCAAGTAATCTTCCAATTGTCTTGTATATTGTTGACCATAAATTGAAAGACAGCTAAAATCTTATGAGGGCTAAGGTGCTCAGTCATAATGTCAAGATATACCCTAGCTTTAAATCCATTAAAGTTGCCTGACGTTTTTTTATAAATCAAATCAAATATTTTATTGTCTTATAAACTTTACAGTTTGTGACCAACATGTATTAACACAATAAACATATATACATACATATCAAACAAACACAATAAAAACAGCATCAAAATGTATAGCAGTAATTTCATTCTAATGATGATTTTTAACATTTCTTGTCTATTATCTTGAAAACCAATATTAAACGGTAAGAGGACAGAAAGTCACAAATTTGATAGGACAAAAAGTCATAAATAATTTATTTATAATTGTTGTTGTTGTTGTTGGGGGGAGGGGGGTCAGACTTTTATCGGGACTCCGGGATCGGGTGTTTTTAAGCTCGGGATTTCGGGATCCGGGAATTCTTTTTTCGAATTTCGGGATGTCAGGATTTAAATTTCTTTAAATTCGGGACCTCAGGATTTCATGTTATTAAGCCCGGGATTTCAGGACCAGGACCCCTCCAACCCCCCCTCATTGTTGGAATATACAAATTATTTGTTTATAATTGTTGGAGTATACAAATAATTTTGTTTATAATTGTTGGAACATACAAATAATTTGTTTAGAATTGTTAGAATATATAAGAGAAAGTTCTTGAAACAGTTTCTTTTCATTACATATATTCAGTTTGCAGTTAAGGAAATTGTTCATTAGCCTTGATAAATGAAGATTTGTCAAATTTTAACCACGCAAAGGATATTTTTCTTGGCACCACGAAGCCATTTAAATACCAATCCACTTTGACAAATTGTTTTCTTAAAAATTATTTGATCATTTTTTCATAGAATAAATTGTGTTTACAAACATGTACAAAGGTTGCTTTATAAATTATATATGATAGTTCAAGAAATTAAAGAAATGATTTTAAAAATAAATGTTTTCCTATTCAAAGAAAAATAATCTCAAAACTGAATTGTGACTTTTTGTCTTGTGAATTTTTGTCTGTGACTTTTGTCTATGACATTTTGTCCTGTGATTTTCTGTCCTTCATTCTATTAAACAACTACAGGTGCTACTTGTTGAGTTCCTGAAGGTTAATTGATTTTGCATTTTTGTTTTGTCATCATTCCTTTGGTAAAGGATACAAAATTGGGAGAAATTGTATGCTCCTTTTTGGAGGTAAGCTATAATCCGCCAGTCCAGTAGTCCAATAGTCTGTCAGTCCTACAGCTCAATTGCCTGACAGTCCGTTAATGTGTGCCCTTGATTTCACTTGCTCACTAGACAAGTTACATAATATTATTTGAAAATAACTTGTTTTTTCCAGAAAATAGTTTTGGATTTTAAAAACAATATGGTGGTCAATATCTTTAGGGGATATCATTGCCTTTGAGTGAATGATTCAGGCTCCTAGGAGCACTTCTTAAGAGAAACTACAAGTTAAACTACTCAAATATATTTATTTTGTATCAAAAATTAATCTATGTTTTATGTTTGAGCATATATGACACTCTAAATGTTGCATTATTGGCTGCTTAAAATGCAAATCTTTAATGGATGTAGAAATAGTTGCAGAATATTATTTTCCCCATTTTAGGTGATCCAGATGACCAAACTCTAAGGGATGTAGAATTAGTTGCTGTATATTATTTTCCCCATTTTAGGTGAACCAGATGACCAAACTCTAAGGGATGTAGAATTAGTTGCTGTATATTATTTTTCCCATTTTAGGTGATCCAGATGACCAAACTTTAAGGGATGTAGAACTAGATGTATGCATACCTGACATATTAAGAGCAAGAGTCAACAAAGAAAGGTGTTATGAAGAACATGAAAGTAATTATTATTGAAAAACATTTCAGAAAACTTAATTGATATACATCAGTAACATCATACATTCAAACCTTGTGTTGAACATGAATAAGTATAGAATAATCATACATTGTCTTGAAATATAAATTTTATTTGTATAAGGCTTAGAAACAAGTAGAAATCCAGGCTGTGCCGAGCATTTCTATCCTGTTTTGAGAAGAGTACAAATAAAATTTATATTTTCGAGACAATATATGGTTATTCTTTATATATTGAAACTCCTATAACTGTTCCAAATGAAGTATTTAGAGTAAAAACCATCATTTTTATACGACCGCAAAAAATTTTGCAGTCATATATTGGTATCACGTCGTCGTCCGAAGACATTTGGTTTCTTGACAATAACTTTAGTACTAGTTAATAGAAATCTATGAAATTTAAACATAAGGTTTATAACCACAAAAGGAAGGTTGAGATTGATTTTGGGGGTTATGGTCCCAACAGTTTAGGAACTAGGGGCCAAAAAGGGGCCCAAATAAGCATTTTTCTAGTTTCATGACAATAACTTGTGGAACAGTGTATGGATCTTTCTGAAATTATACCACAAGTTTCCATACCACAAAGGGATGGTTTTGATTGGCTTTTGGGGGTTATGGCTCAAACCGTTTAGGAAATAGGGGCAAAAGAGTGAGATAAACAAAGGTGTCCTGGTTAATGGACAATTACTTAAGTACAAATTACAGTGTAAGGGAGGTAATTCAAACACAACTTTGAATTACCTCCCTTACACTGCTTTTAAATTATGTATAAAGAATTTTTGTATTGTCTTGAGGTGATTAGCTGTCAATTCATTTTTAGAAGTTACTATTTTAATCATTTTAAAAATGCTGATTAAGGTAAATTAATTTTAGCTATGATTATGTATGTCATTTTCTATTTTAAGACTTATGATGTATTTAAATGGGTTATTATGGTTGCAAACTCCATTGGAAATTTGAATTGAAATTATGACCATGACTGAGGGAAAGAATTTTTTTTGGATAAAAGAGGGGGGTGGGGGGGGGGGGGGGGGGGGGGTAGGTTTAAAAAAAAATTGGGGGGGGGGGTAAAAAAAATTGGTAGTGGGGGGGACAATTTTTTCTCCTGAAGATTTCAGAAATCTAAAAGAAAATCCTTCAAATTTTCTTTTTTTTAAAAAAAAAGGGGGGGGGGGAGTCAATTCGCAACAGCATAGTGTATTGCACAAAAGCAAAAAATTGAATATAAATTCAAATCATATAACCAATTCCAAGTTCTTTAACTACAGTTATTATGCGTCAAATATTTAATTACAATCCAAATTCAGACCTGTATCAAGCGCGAATATTGTGTTCATTTTTGCCCCAGCTGTTGAAGGTAGGACCTCTGCGGTTGTATCCAGCTGCGTTCGGCGAAGCAATTTATTGCATTATGGTACCCTGACACTAGACTGTTTTACCCTGTTCCTACCCGAAAAGGTTATTATTTGATTGTGGTAATTTCAGTTGTCTCAGATTGTGGCAGAAGAGAACAACTTATGATGCCATTCAGGTGCCAGAAGGAGGCTCTCGTTTTTAAGAAGTGTTTATATAAAGCGTGAGTATGATTTTGATGTGGAATTGTCATATTTCTGGACTTGTCAGCAAAATTTACAAATCATGGTAGACCGTACCAATTAAATGTTATCAGCTTCTAATTGTACTACAGTTAACAACCAAAATTCCTTCAACTTCATAGAATAGTTGCACATACATTTACATTGATGTACTAGTTGTGCACCTGCTATTATGGAGCTGTTTGAGATTTTTTTTCCACCATCTTTCCAGACTTTGTAACTTTATCATTTCTTCACCCAAATTTCAAAAGAAGGTACAATTCTTGTTTCCCACCAAGATCTTTTGAACTTCCTAGAAAGATTGAAAACCTATTTTGCTTGTGCACCTTCTATTATCTGAGCTGTTTTGAGATTTTATCACATTTGTAGCTCACCTGGCCCAAAGGGCCAATTTGAGTTTTACCATCACTCGGTGTTCATCGTCTGTTGTCATCAGTCAACTTTAACAAAGATCATCTCCTTGGGCCAATTTAATAAAACTTGGCCACAATCATCAATGGGGTATGTGGTTTAAAAAATGTGTCCAATGACCACACCTGCCGACAAAGATGGCGGACTTGGCTGAAATAATATACAAGGGGGAATTGCAATTTTTGTCTATTACAAATGTATCTTGAAAACTGCTATAGATAAAGAAAATCTGACACAGGGAAAATTTTTAGAAATTGATTAGATTTACATAACGTCTATTGACATCAAAACTGTCAGACGACTTCTACAGAAATTATTGTCCTTGAAAAACAGATTTTTCCATTTTTTTTCATTTTTGCCTATTAATATTTTGATAACCATAGTAAATAGATAGAAACTTTAGATAGCAAACATGATCAGCAAGTCAAGATCTATAAATAAGCCATTATGGCCGAAATCTTTAGTGAACTCCTAATTGGAGTTATTGCCCTATAATGATAATTTTTACCATTTTTTTGCATTTTTTGTCTCTTATCTTGAAAACTGTGATAGATGAATAGAAACTTGAAAGGTAAAATGATCAGCAGGATAAGATCTACTCATACATCAACATGACTGAAATTGTCAGCTAACTCTTAATAGAGTAATTCCTGTTAAATGATGATTTTTACTAAATAGTGGCCAATGTTGAAGATGCAGGTGAGCTACACAGATTCTTTAAAGCCTATTGTTTCATATTTTTATATATCTAAATATTCAGTATAAACCATTCTTTATTGTATAAGAAACCCTTTGTGCAATTTGAGTCTGATCTTTATTTTTTCTTGTTGACATAACAGGGAAAAATACATTATTTCTCTTAAGTTTGCTGCTGATTTACATTACTATGCCAACAGGCATGCACTCATTATCGTATGTATGAATTATTTACACATACAGTAATAAGCGCATGCCCAATGAAACTTTTACAATTTCCTATGATTTGGCAACCTTTTTCACTCGATTTGGGTCAATTTTATTATAAATTTGACTTGATAAGTCAGCAGAAATATGATTTGCTGTCTACTTTAACAGCACAAAACACTTCAGCTTTACTATTTTTGTTAGCAAGGCAAAAAATTGTTTTAGGGTCGGTCATAAAAACATAGGGTCAGTCAGACGGCAGAAAACAGAAACAATTTTTATTTCCGCCTGAGTTCCTATGTTGTAAGGCAACACCTCCCGAAGATATCCATTTATTCATACACTTGTACCTATTTTATTTATTCTCATGTATTAAAATAAATAAGAAGATGTGGTTTGAGTGCCAATGAGACAACTCTCCATCCAAGTCACAATGTATAAAAAGTTAACAATTATAGGTCATGTATTTATACATCAATTGCTTTCGAATGGGTTGGCATTCCTGGTAAATGAAAATCCAAAAAAGATCTTTCGACTAATATTTTTTATAGGGTGTTATTTTCATTTACTGAGGGGCCTGATGGGTTATTTTCGTTCTTCGTGAACGGCGCATTTTCGCTATCGTGATCCGTTTTTTCTACAGATTTTTTTTTTTTTATATTTTTGTGATCCGTGATCATGGAAATTTATTTGCTGTGAATCGTGATTGACAAAAAAAATCAACTCATGAATCGTGATGAGACCCCCCCCCCCCCCCCCCCCCCCCCATCAGGCCCCTCTTTACTATAAATAACATGAATAATGATTACCTATTACAGATTTAATGATCCAGAATTCATAGAGAGTGGTAAGCAACAGTTTTTAGATGAAAGAACAGAATTTAGGCGAACTGGTATACCAAAGAAAAGAAGAGTACAGATGGCTGAAAGAGAGAAAAGAGTCCATAGAATAATGGAAGAATTAAAAGAAGCTGAGAGACTTGAACAAGAACATTCCAATCATACTTCATAGCGTTGTCATGGTTACAATAGTCAGGGCTATCAATGAGTTGTCATGGTTACGATAGTAACGGCTATTCTAGAAAGAGTTATACAGTTGTTGTGGATGGGGAAGGAATGTGTTGTGGATGAAAATGTGTGTGTGATGAAGTTTTCTAATGAGTCTTAAGAAAAAAATAGATTTCTTATGTATTGGTATGGATGGTTGGTGTGAGCATAAGTGCATTTCATCCCTCTTAAACCATTCTAGAGTTATGCCCCTTTACAAATGGAAAAATTGCTGAATTTTTCGTTTCTGTTCTCTAACTTGAGTTTTCTAGAATATCCTTTAAACTATGGTGTCCTAAATATCATTTTATAAATATGGGTGTGTGTATACCAGAATGAAATTGAACCTGACAGTGATGGATGAGAGGTTGATTTTGTACTTTTAATAAGTTGTCACTGTAATGTTAACAGGGGAAAAGACATGGAAATTAATTTACAGAGTGCAGCTCTCTTTAAAATATTTGTATGTTTATTGTTAGATAAACTTGATATTTGGTGTACGCTGAATTATATATGTTTTGCGTTCATAATATTGGTAAGTGTTAAAATTTCTTTTATACTGGATATTTGGTGTACCTTGAATTATAAATGTTTTGCTGTCATAATCATGATAAGGATGTTATAATTTGAGCTGCGTCGGATAGAAATCGACCTTATGCAAGTTTCCGTATACAGGTACATGTTTAAGACTTTGATTGATTTTAAAACATTCAAATACGAAATAATTGATGAATTATGGTCTGTTTTGTAGGGTTCTTTTTTCTTCTCAATTTCAAACAGTTAAAGACTTTGCATAGAGATTTTTTCCAACCCGAAATAAGCCTACAGATGTATTGATATTCATTTACATAAGGTCGATATCTATCCGACGCAGCTCATTTCTTTGTATTTAATGACTGTATATATAAAATTGATTGTTGATTAATAAATTAAGAAAACAACTTTTTTGTTCCTGTTGTCAGATGATTGATGAATGGTTGTCTAATTTCCAGCGGCAAATTAAATCCATATTCAGGATAAGAACATGATATAAACCCTGCTTTGTACTAGACAAACAAGCTTATCAAGATTTTGATAGTGCTAGTTCACAAGGAAACAGTCCGCAGGAAGACATATAACCCTATCCGGACAAATTATTCCGACTCCAAACTGACCAGTCTTTGCTCTTATACATAAATACTGCATACTTAGTGTAGAAGCAGGAAATACCAATTTTCAAAATCGTTTGGTTTGACCCTGCCAGGGTTCAACACCACGACCTCCCACACTCCAAGTCATCAAGCAGAGCATGACACCACCGAGGCAGTTACATGTAGGTTAAATTTCATCATACCTGATGAAGAGTTTTTATACGACCGCAAAAAAATTTTGCGGTCGTATATCGGTATGACGTTGGCGTCGTAGTCCGAAGACACATTGGTTTTCGCACTCTAACTTTAGTTTAAGTGAATGGATCTCTATGAAATTTTACCATAAGTTTCAATACTACAAAAGGAAGGTTGGGATTGATTTTGTTATGGTACCAACAGTTAAGGAATTAGGGGCCAAAAATAAGCATTTTTGTAACTTTTAAGACATAACTTGTGTGCTAGTGTATGGATCTCTCTGACATTGTACCACAAGGTTCCATTGATTTTGGGGGTAATTGCCTCCAAATTTTAGGAATTAGGGGCCAAAAAACAAGCATTTTTCTAGTTTCATGACAATTACTTGTGTGTAAGTGTATGGATCTTTATGAAATTATACTACATGGTTCCATATCACAAAGGGAAAGCTGAAATTGAGTTTGGGGGTAATTGCCCAAAACGTTTAGGAATAAGGGACCAAAAAGGGGCCAAAAATAAGCATTTTTCTAGTTTCCAGACAATAACTTGTGTTCAAGTGTATGGATCTTTCTGAAATTGTACTGCAAGGTACCATACCACAAAGGAAAGGCTGGGATTGATTTTGGGGGTAATTGCCTCAAAATTTTAGGAATTAGGGGCCAAAAAGGGGCAAAAAAACAAGCATTTTTCTAGTTTCAGGACAATAACTTGTAAGTGTATGGATCTTTATGAAATTGTACTACAAGGTTCCATATCACAAAGGGAAAGCTAGGTTTGAGGTTGGGGGTAATTGCCCTAAACGATTAGGAATTTGGGGCCAAAAAGGGGTAAAAAAACAAGCATTTTTCTAGTTTCCAGACAACAACTTGTGTTCAAGAGTATGGATCTGTCTAAAATTGTACTGCAAGGTACCATACCACAAAGGGAAGGCTGAAATTGAGTTTGGGGTGATGAATCATAAGGGGGTTCAAAAAATTGGGGGGGGGGGGGGGGTTTCCTTTTTTTTCTTTAAAATTTTCCATTTTAAATTGGTTATTTCTGATTTATATATAAAAGCAAATAATAATGATATGGTTTGAATAGGTAAATTAAAATTTTTTAAGTTCTTAGACCACATTCATTCTGTGTCAGAAACCTATGCTGTGTCAAATATTTAATCACAATCCAAATTTAGTGCTGTATCAAGCTTGAATGTTGTGTCCATACTTGCCCCAACTGTTCAGGGTTTGACCTCTGCGGTCGTATCAAGCTGCGCCCAGCGGAGCATTTTATTGCACATTATAAGAATCCTTCTAGATGAATTATTTGCCACTAGATACATATATTTAGCAAACACTAATCAGTCAATTATTTTAGACGTGTTTAGACATGGATGTTTTTTACCTATTTTTTCAGACCCCTTATTGAGCTAAAATATAACTAGATGAGGATGATGTATTGAATAAAATGCCACAAACACTGGATTTAGAGAACTGTGACGTTTAAGTAAAATTTGAAACGGTTGTGTCTAAAAGACACATTTAACAAGCATTCTGAGAGTATTGCATGGCAATACATAGTCCCATACCGGGTAAAAATTCATTATACTGGAACAAAATGCTAACTTGTTCTATAACTTGTCATGGTGTAAACAAAAAGAAAATATCAAGTCAATATCTTCAAGCATGACTAAAAACAGTGTGGAAAACTGAATATATGAGTGAATTTAACAAGTCCAAGGACCATAACTCTGCATAAAATTATCAGACCGAAACAAAAATTTGAACTTGATCTGTAACTTGTCATGATAAAACTATATACCAATTATCAATCAATATCTTCAAGCATGATGAAAAAAAGCGTGGAAAACACTCTTACATTAGATATGATTAATAGTTCTCTTAAATTATACAATGTATATCTATTTTCAAATTATAATCAAACATAATTAATAGTTCCAAATATTTTTTCTTTCATTCGTCACAAACTAATATAGATTTGTAACTTATCTATAAAATGTCAACAACTTTTATCTATACACAATGTAATGTAATGAAATACCTTGATAAAAATAGATTATAATCTGATGAAAGGATTTCACTTCATAATTTTTTTTTATATATATAGCATTCAGAAAATTAGTTTATACAAAATAACAAACACTTCAAACAATTTACCAAATAATGTCTTTTAAAAAATGAGTTATCTCCCTTTGTACAGAAATATGGTTTTACATACAAAATGTAGTACTCTAACATTAGAAATAGACCATGATAACTCTGGACTGTAGCAATACACAGTTAGGAGTTTGGTTTCGCATTTTGGCCCCGATGGATTTTTCAAATATGAAAGTTATTGTGTAATAAAATTTCATTTTTGGACAGCTGAGTACTAATTTAGCCTTCAAAGGTGGTTTATAAGAACTTCAAGATTATTTTTTTCCATGTTTTATGGGCTATTTTCTGTTTGACTCTCCGTATTTTCATAGCTAGACCGGTCATCGGTCCAGAAATTAATGTAATGTTTACAAACACTTTTTTTTCGACATGAAGTTTTTGACGCAATTTTACAAAAAAATGAGACGAAAGACATATGATTTTCATTGGATTTATTGAAAGATATTTGTAAACAGTTTCAGAAAAGGTATTACTTGAAGTGATTGAAATTCTACTTTTGGCCAAATTTTGGGGAAATATGTGACATCTTTTCCCCCCTTTTTACTATATTTTATAACAAAAAAATGCAGATTGTTGCCATGGATACACCAAAAAGAAATTATATATTACCATTTTATATACTGGATATGAAATCTATGGAAGATTCTGATTACATACATATGCAAATATATGACACAAACAGTAAGCTTAATATTGCAAGAAGGTAATGAAAAGGGGATGGTAAAATTTATGAGGGAAAATTTTAATATTTTTTCCTAACTGTTTATTGCTACCTAATGGCATACTTACCAAGCTCAGAATTGTATAATTTAAGACTTTTCATACAACAAATCTATTGATATTTAGATTCTAAATCAACTTCTGAGGGGATTAAGTGTTTAAGAATGACAATACATGTCAATTTTATTGTTTACAGTCCTTAGCAACCAAAATTAGACATTTTGACACAAGGTTTATAATTGTACTTTATTTGCTTAAAACAAGGATTTATTTGATTCTGGAATAATTTTGAATTCTGGAAAATTGATTAGAAATGTATGATGAAAACTAACCCAACTAGATAGGGTTAGCCATGCGTGCATGGCTAAGGTTAATTTTACTTTCACTATCATTTCAGTATGAACTAACTAACCCACCTTAGCCATACACGCATGGCTAACCCTATTTAGTTGGGTTAGTTTTCATCATATATTTCTCATCAATTTTCCAGAATTCAAATAATTCCTTGTTTTAACCCTTGCTTTTGAAGGATTGCGCAGTATGTAGTAGCCTAAGTATTGAATGTTTTGTATTTTTTCTTGCGAATATATCAAATTATTGTTTTTATCAAGATTTCATGTTACATTTTGACATATATTAAATGTATAGTTGATTCAGCTGTAAGAAATTGATTCCCCATTACCAAGTTTTTTAATCACGTCTTTGGTACATGTATACATTAAACATAAAGATTAACATTTTCATGCTTGAAATTGTTAAATTTTGTACAATTTTGCATCATCAGAGGTCTTATAAAGATTTTCAACATTAAAAAACTGACAAAAGAGGTATAGTTTTTAAGATTTTGCCAAAAATTGAGGTAGAAACAAGATTTTACACTTTTGACTTGGCACCTTTCTTTAAATCAGTTTTTGTCGCTTTGCAGTGTCAACTGCTAACCTTCATAAAATATTCATTACTCAACCAATTTTCAAAATAAAAGGCCATTTTACTCGTTTTAGCTAGCAGAACACAGAAAATTAGTTAAAAGGGAGAATTTGAAAAAAATATTTACTATTAGGGTAGCAATACACAGTTAGGAGTTTGGTTTCGCATTTTGGCCCTGGTGGATTTTTCAAATATGAAAGTTATTGTGTAATAAAATTCATTTTTGGACAGCTGAGTACTAATTTAGCCTTCAAAGGTGGTTTATAAGAACTTCAAGATTATTTTTTCCATGTTTTATGGGCTATTTTCTGTTTGACTCTCCGTATTTTCATAGCTAGACCGGTCATCGGTCCAGAAATTAATGTAATGTTTACAAACACTTTTTTTTCGTCACGAAGTTTTTGACGCAATTTTACAAAAAAATGAGACGAAAGACATATGATTTTCATTGGATTTATTGAAAGATATTTGTAAACAGTTTCAGAAAAGGTATTACTTGAAGTGATTGAAATTCTACTTTTGGCCAAATTTTGGGGAAATATGTGACATCTTTTCCCCCCTTTTTGCTATATTTTATAACAAAAAAATGCAGATTGTTGCCATGGATACACCAAAAAGAAATTATATATTACCATTTTATATACTGGATATGAAATCTATGGAAGATTCTGATTACATACATATGCACATATATGACACAAACAGTAATCTTAATATTGCAAGAAGGTAATGAAAAGGGGATGGTAAAATTTATGAGGGAAAATTTTAATATTTTTTCCTTACTGTTTATTGCTACCTAAATCATCAGACTGGAAAAAAATTCGAACTTGATCTATAACTTGTCATGATAAAACTATATACCAAATATTAAATCAAATCTTCAAGAACGAAGAAAAAAAGTGTGGAAAACTGATTTGCCGGACTGACCGATGGACAGACGGACGGACAGACAGACAGACAGACGGACGGAGTGCAAACCTAAAGTCACCTAAGACTTCGTCGGTAGGGGTCTAATAAGCCCACAAATAAGGTTAAACATTTGTCAGGAGTGGAAAATTAAGAAAATCAAAATCCTGTCAATATCCACAACTTTAAGTTCCAACATCCTACAGTACATAATATATAACTTCTAGCTTGAAAACTGTAGGAGCAGTTAGTCAAACAAACCATGTGTTCTGCATGCCTATTTTACCTAAATATGAAGTTCAACAACCTGTCATTTGCAGAAAACTGATAACATGCACAGCTTTAGTATATGTACTATCACCCTGCATACTTTGAAATTCTAGCTTGAAATCTGTAGTGGGAATTAGCCAGACAAATCATATATCCCATGCAGAACAGATGGACAGGGGTAAAACGATATGCCTCCTGATATTTTGAACAAGAACAATGATGTAAACAACTAAAGGGAACTGTACAGCCTTCAACAATGAACAAAACCCAAACCATAGAACAGAAGTAGGCAATGAAAAGTCCATGGGATAACAAAATTTGAAAATATTCAAAAGAGAAAATCAGCAGTCTGATTTAATCTTCTGGTAATAACATTAATGACAGAGGACAACACATACTAAAGTGGCATGGGACAAGCACATAATGAATGTGGCAGAAGATACTTCGACAACATTCAAAAATTTAAGTTACCTGTAAACAATATAGATAATATCATAGCCAAATTTTTTTTAAAAACCAAACAAACAACTGTCCATAACAACACTTTAAAAGGACTCAATCGGATTGGTATTTTGTATAAATAAATTATTAATTGAATGTGCATATAATAGTGATGAAGAAAAGTATATGTGGGTTAGACGTCAGCAAGACAGCAACCCAGTAAAATTAATACCCAAATATAATGCTTATATAATAAATAGATTTAGAAACAAAAAAGAATATTTCCTGTTAGAGAATAGGGCCATTCAGACGACCAAAAGTAAAATCGTTCAATCATCCCTGAAGGAACTAAAACAAGAGTGCACAAGCTGAAATGTCTCACCTGCTCTACTAATAATAGAATTTATGTTGAAAGCCTGTAATATGAAGGTTTTACTACAAATATCACATAAACTAAACATCAATGATCAATGAAAATGAGGTTACGGTCTGATGAACCATGACAGACAATGTAAAACTTACAATCATTCCATACACCAAATCTAGTGGTCTTTTTACTTATAGTACCTAGAAAACAGACCAAACCACTTGAACTTAACATTAAGGTCATATGAACATTCCAAACAGACATGCACACCTAACAATCATTCCAAAATGATTCCATACACAAAATATAGTGGCCCTATTGTTTATAGTATCAAGGAAATAGACCAAACCAAAAAACTAGACAGTTTAGCAACTTTTAGAAGGCCACATAAAGTCCATTATGAGAAATTTTGTTAAACCAATAAAAATCACAATTTTATTTATTTATAAATACTATGTTCATATGCAATATGATATTAAATAACAACAAATAATTAACAAATATAGAATAAAGATTTACCAACAATGCACTTCATCATTAATCAACGATATAGATAGGACATATCAGAACATTCAAAACTTGACTCATAACAGATACATTTTGAGATAGGGTTAGACTTAACATTGAAAAATTCTAAATTTGTGTGACCCATATACAAGGTAAATACACAGATTTCACTCTACTAATTCCTTAATCTAATCTATCCAAATGGTTTAAATGACTCCTTTACTTAGTCAAAGAGATGAGACTTCAATGTGCTTTTTCGGGTGTCTATAACAATTGTGAAAGTTTGTGATTAGGTCATTAGAGGGTGACCAGCTCATTTCCTTGTAGATTACTTTGCCCTCAGTTATGGTCCATTGATTATTAAACCTTTTGCATAGTTTACATTTAAGATATTTCCAAACATATCTCTGTGTCTACAGTTTGTTAATCATTACAAATAACACACTTATGTTCTCTTACATAAGAAACAGATAACCTTGTACTAAAATACAACTGGTCCAGTTTGAATTTTTTTTTGTGATTCTCATTTAATTTTATATATAAATTTGACCTGATTGTTGCAAAGGACTGACAAAATTTTTGATATTTTGCAATAGAAATAATAGTGAGGACCAGCAGATTTTCTTCAAGGACCATCTGGGGAAAAGATTTTGCATTACTTTGTACTGACACAGATATAGCTGATTACAATTTATAGCTGAATTATTTTTATAAAGGAATATAGTATATAGTAGCTGTTTATTTAGAAATAACTAGTTCAGCGACATGGACGCATTCATTACTGTGATTTTTGTAGAATCAGAGATTAATATTTGTGATTCTCACTCTGCATACAAATAATTCTATCAAAATTTAAAATGCAAGTTTTTATTTTTTATCAATATCCTTTTCCGTTGCGATTTTCTAAAAACATAGAAAAAATTTCTAATTCAAAGGTACATTTAAATGCAAATCCTATCTAAACAAACATCAATATTTGTAAGATATTTTTCATCATACCAAATTAAATAATGTTATGTGTATGTATACCTATCTGTAGATACAATGGAATGTTGTTTTATAATTGCACTTGAATCATTTTTTTTCTTTCTAAAGAAAAAATGAGAAGATGGATATTCAGCAAATATCATTTAGAATAGCACATTTTGTTGCTTGAATAAATGCCACCACCAGTTTTGTACTAGCATAGTTGTATTTATAGAAGCCACCATATCTTTGAACTAGAGTTATAGTGTGAACAGAAAACCATAAATGTTACCCACACTTTGTACTGGAGTTATAGTGTGAACAGAAAACCATAAATGTTACCCACACTTTGTACTGGAGTTATAATGTGGCAAACAAATTAAAATGCCACCCTAACCTTGCAGATTTGTAGTGTGGCTGCCACCCTTATATGTACTAATTGAGTTAAGTGCGAATGCTTTACCAGAGTTCTCGAAAAGTGGTGGTTCGAAGGTTTTGACCACCAAAATTTTGCAAAGGACTGACACAATTTTTGATATTTTGCAATAGAAATAATAGTGAGGACCAGCAGATTTTCTTCAAGGACCACCAAGGAAAAAAATTTCGCTTTAATATGTACTGACACAGATAAAGCTCTCAAGACATCTGTGACAAAATTATCACATGATCACTACCGCAAACTTGGGTGTATGTACAAACATAATGTCTTGGTAATATTTGGTTATATTCTGACAAATTTTAAACCCCAAAAAGGATAAGTTGAATTCAATATTTTTTTTAAAGATTTTATGATACCCAATCATACTATTTTTTTTTCTTTTTAAAAAAAAATACTCCTGGCATTAACGTTTAAGAATTACCAAGAATGTCCACAGACACATAAGTCATTCTAGTTTGAGAACTTTTCCAATGCTTTTTACTTGGTCCATTTCTTACTTATTGTAAATTTTAAATAGTTCACAGTATTAATACAGATAACTTTTCATGTGAATTACATTATTTAAGGTGGTACATAACACTACAGGGAGATAACCCTGTAAAAATCAGCTGAAAGTTTTAATCACGTTCTATTGTTAAGAAAATATCAAGTTTCTCAATGATCAAAATTAGTGTATGTCAAACTGATATACATCCAATGAAAATTTTCCGATAAAGTGTGTGGTTCAAATTTTTTGAAATTTTTATATTTTTGTCAAAAGGTCAAAGTAAATATTTGGTAAAAATTTTATGAAAATTGAACGAGCCAAATTAATTTTAGTCAAGGTGTTTGGTACCACCTTAACCATAACAGTCATCATAACATGTTTGATAGTGAAGAAATTTTTGATTGCCTAAATAAATTTTGTATTTGTCAGCTAAGGGTATTTCCAGGCCTTTCTCTTCCAAAAATGAAAACATTAAAAATGACTTATTTGTTGGTCTAATATGTAGCACGGTAGATTCAAATGACATTAACTTGTTACCATCTTTATCCAAATGATCAAAGGGAGATAACCCCAACAATTTAGTGGTTGATTTTTCAATCCTTGAGCAAAGCTAACATCCACCTTCGGAAGGTCAGAGAACATTGGCTTCTTATTTCATTCAATAATCTAACCCAAATAATTCAGTCTTTATATTCCGCTGATCTGCGATTACTTCATTAACGCCTGAATGCATAGACAATGAAAAATCTTCAAACAATCATTCGGAATTAGCTCGGGATTTACCTATCTCGATAAAATTGAGCTGATTGCTGATTGGTCACCTCTTCTACAGGGCACCAATCACAATCAAAGATATGTGAAGAGTTTTTATCGTGTTAGGAATTCTGGCCCTCGCAAGTAGGAGAGATCGATTAGGGGGAGGGACTAAATTAGTGGGGTTATCAATAATCCAGTATTTTTCATAAATTTGTAGTATCATCAATTTGTAGTTAAAAACAATATCCATATTTCAACTTTTTTGACATCATTGCCACAAATGTTACACTATTTTGATATCTTTTGGTGCAGAGGCAGTTAACAAAATATTGTATGGCAAGGTTGACATGGTCACTGTAATATCTGCCATCTTCACTGTTGTCATGGTAACTATGATGCACTTTACACTGTTACACTGTTGTCATATTAACCATAGTTTCTGTGTCTGTTTCAAATGATCTTGTTCTTAAAACCTTAAAAAACAAAAGAATTCACTAATAGTTTTTTTGGTAACTTTATGTTATTTGTTATTGAGATAGCAACACAACAATACAAAAAAATCCACTGTAGAAGTTTCTAGTTTTCTGGTTGGAATATTGTTTTAAGGAATTGTACAACATATTGAAATGGTCAAAAGGCTAGTTTGCTTACCTACTCATAACCGTTCATGACTGCTGACCGTGCGAGGGCTGTATAGCCAGTCAAGGTCGTTAAAAACTCTCATCATCATAACCATTAGCATTTTTAATTCTGAAATGTCCTTTTATTATTTTTCTATTTTCTTGGGATAATGTGTGGTATTAAAAACTCTCAAAATTTTAATTCTGCCACATTTTCATATATCATATACCCGTCCTGAGGCAGAAATTTTGTTATGTATTGTATTTTTGTGTTTTTATATCTTTATGTATCCATATCTTAGTGTATTTATATCTTTGTGAAATAACAGTATCAAATCTTTAAATATTCATATCTTTGTGTATTATATCTTGATGTATTAAATCTTTGTGTATTTTTATCTTTATGTATCCATATATTTGTGTATTTTTATCTTTATGTATTCATATATTTGTGTAATATATCTTTGTGTATTATATATCTTTGAGTATTTATATCTTTGTGTATTATATATCTTTGAGTATTTATATCTTTGTGTATTTATATATATATATGTCTTTATGTATTCATATATTTGTGTATTATATCTTAGTGTGTTTTATCTTTGTGTATCTGTGTATTTATATCTTTGTGTAATTTATATCATAGTGTATTTATACAGTGATGTAAGATCTTTGATTATATTTGTTACATTCATTTAAAATATGTCTAATCCCTGGGAAATTGAGGTTGGATTTCTGTGAGAACAATATAATAATGATATACAATGGCCTAAAAAATATTGCACCCTATTTTCAATTATCAATTCATCTATTTATTCAAGTATTTGTTTGTTATTTCTCATAGGAGTCCATTGTTTGTTTGTTCCTATCTAATAACATAAACAGTACCAATTTTTCTGCACCAGATGCGCATTTCATCAAATCAATGTCTCTTCAGTGATTCTCGAGGCCAAAATGTTTGAAAATCCAAAGCTTATTAAAAAGATGAAGAGCTATTAACCAAAAAGGACAAAATAGTATAGCCAAAACCGGGCAAGGAATCAGAGCTTGTACTTTCCAATATTATATGTATTCCTCTTATCCTTTTTATGTCTTGTTCAAATGGATCTGCAATCAAAATGTCATTGGATTCTATTTTCTTATAAAAATAAGGATATGTGGTATGATTGCCTGTAATTCAGAGGTTTCCTTTGTTGCTGTATATCATACTTGTTTTAGGTTTATTGTTTGGTACATTAATCATGCCGTTAGTTTTCTTGTTTGAATTGTTTTACATTTGTCATCTCGAGGCCTTTTACAGCTTGCTATGGGGTATAGGTTTTGCTCATTGTTGAAGACAGTACAGTAACCTTTAGTTGTTAATTTCTACATCATTTGGTCTTTGGTGGTGCGTTGTCTCATTGGCAATCATATCACATCCTCTTATTTTTATAAATGAGACAACTATTCTTTCTAAAATTGTACGTTTGAAATTTATAATGCGTTGTTTTCATTTTTTACAGCACTGGGTCTATACCTCTGCTGGTGGACTATCAGTCCTCGAGGGTATCATCAGCTCAGAAGTCAGTACTTCGGTACTGACATGATTTCTAACAAACCCTTCTAAAATTGTCTGTTTATAAATTTTGAAATTATTTAGAAACTAAGGTTTCAACTCCCTCAGTCAAAGTTGACCTTAGATGAACTTGGCTATTTATTTAGGTCTTTTTTGGTTGTATAGCTCCTCAACTGTTTCAGTTCTTATACATCCTTGGCTTTCAAATATTTGGCATTGAGCGTTCCTGATGAAGGTAAATCCAGAAAAGAGCTTCAGACGCATGAAATTTATAACGTGTTGTTTTCATTTTTTTCTATCCATCAGAGACCAAAGGGAATGAAAACAACTACTAGTGGTATAGGTTGTACAGCCTTCAACAATGATCAAAACCAAGCAGTATAGTAAGCTATAAAAGGTCCAAGCATTGCTAATTGTGAAATAATTTAAAAGAGAAAACTAATGGCCTGGTTTATGGACTTCTCACCTCATTGACAAAGTTAATAAGGGGACGACCATTTGATATTCTGGGGGGGGCCAGGAGGATTTGTTTTGGATCGGTTATTTATTTTTGTAAATTAAGAGGACAGATTATCTATTTTCTGCACTATTGAAGCAAGATTTTTCATTTTCATTAAAGCAAGGGACTGATTATTTATTTTCACAACTATATTTATAATATTCGAAAACATACAATTTTTAAATTATTTGTTTATTATAAATAATTCATGTATAGTCAAGTCATTATGTACCATTTAATCAGAATTAGTTATTATCCTCTGCAGAAATGAATCTTCTATATTCGCCAATGCATATACATGTATTGCATACATACACAGTATTAAAGTTTGGTTGTAACTAAGGCTCTTTTAAAAGTATTGGCAAACATGTTTTGCCGAGCGAAGCGAGGCAAAAATTTTTTTGAAGGGTTTTTGAACCGCTGAAGGCCCAAGAAGCTATAGAACAAATGATGCAAAATCATGCCTTATGGGTGTTCCCCAGACCCTTTCTTAAACTGAAAATGCAAGTTCTTTTTTAATAATTTTATGACAATATTTTGGTCTCAAAGCAAAATCACGTTATAGATTCAGTGTAAGACCTAAGTTTCTAGGAACAGCATCAAAAGACAAATATTTATGATAAAGCAAAAATGTAATTCACATAGTTAAGTCTGTGGCTGCTGTGTTTTTTTAAACTCATGGTCAAATTAATAATCAAATTACTAAATTACAAAATGAATGCAACACTAACAGAATACAGAAGGGCAATCAATGAACAAAAGACAAATAAATAAGAAACATTGATCCCGAAAAATCAGGGGCTACGTCTGAGGGAGAACAGAACTTGCTTCTTGCAAGGCACTCACGGTGAACACAATTTGATATGGAGACAAGCGTTTGGTTTTGGAATTTCCTACATGAGGCATTTGTCTCAATGTAGTTACGGCCCTGATTTAATAAAAGTGAGGTAAGTGTTCCTGAGACAATTAACCTCAAGTTAAATGAAACCAATTTTCTGACATTTCAAGTATATTTAAATAATATTTATACTTTTATTATTAAAAGATATGGGAAGTGTTTCCCGATTTTTTTTTTGGAAAAAAGATGAATTTATGAAGAATCTGATGCCATCTCATACTTTCGATTAGACCTGCTGAGTTATTTATTTTCAATACATTGCAAGTCAGGTAATTTATTTTCAAACTACCACAGAACAAACCATTTATTTTTGTGATTATCAAGGCTGAGTTATTTATTTTCAAAATCCTCCTGGCCCCCCCCAGAATATCAAATGGTCGTCCCCTAATAGCCTGATAGTACCCTTGGGACATCCAAGTCTCATTGTGTGTTCACCCGGTAAATCGTACAATTCTGACCTCATTTACAAAGTTAATAATAGCCTGATAGTATCCTTGGGACATCCATGTCTCATTGTGTGTTCCCCCAGGGAATCGTACAATTCTTACCTCATTGACAAAGTTAATAATAGCCTGATAGTACCCTTGGGACATCCAAGTCTCATTGTGTGTTCCCCCAGGGAATCGTACTATTCTTTTCTTTTTACTTCCAGATACCTGTGTAGAAACAAAACATTTACTCAATTAATAACAAAGAAGTAGGGGCATTCACAGTGTTAATTTTGTTTTACCAGTACAGAAACCATAAGCAAAATTCTACAGTTTTTTTAAAATGACCTTGTGGCTGTCATATCACTTATGTAAGAATAATTTTGTACTTTCTTGAAAGGAGAAGGTTCTGAAGGGTTAATATTGTCCGTTTATTTCCGTGAATTTTCTCATACATAAACTTTAATATTGATAGTTAAAATTTGATGACAAAATTTGTAAAAGTATCCGACAATTACAAAATTAACAAGTTCTGACCCATTAGAACACATACTTTTGACCAATGTTTTGTCTAAATTTTAATAGGTTTTTTTCAAATAACATTGGCCACATGCATGGACCACCATAACATTTTGTTAGAATATGTATCTGACACATTTATATAGGTCAAGGAGTGTGGCTAATGTTTTCCAGAAAGAAAAAGACCTTAGAAATACATAAAAACAGATAATCTGGCTGTAAACTATCATACTTTTGAAGCTATAAGTGGATTCCTTAAGACTAAATCAAGTTCCAATTAGAAAAAAGGTTTCAGTGGATTAAGTTTTTGCAAAATTTAAAGAAGGATGAAGGATTCCCTCACAAAGTGATGCCAGGTCAGCTTAAAATTGTGCAAATTGATAAGAACCACTTACGGTATGTAAAGTATCCATCATTCTTGGTGGTATAAGATTATCTGATAAACCGGATAAAAATAATGTCGGCACTTTTATATTTGGTAACCTAGATATAGATCTGTACTGAAAAGAAAACAAACACAAACTCATTCAGTTACAACAATGAATAATGGAACTCTTTTGTAAAGGAGGTGCAATACTGATCATTTCAGTGTGTATACATTATATGTTTCTTCAATTGCCTTCATGAGGTACATAAGCAAGGAGTTGCACACCATGTCTTGGTAGCTATAAGACCACTCATTAACTAAAAATCCCATGCTTATTGGGTATAATAAATATTGAACGTATCATCAAATAGGGCTTTAATAGATATAAGAAGATGTGGTATGAGTGCCAATGAGACAACTCTCCATCCAAGTAACAATTTATAAAAGCAAACCATTATAGGTCAGGGTACGGCCTTCAACACGGAGCATTGGCTCACACCGAACAGCAAGCTATAAAGGGCCTCAAAAATTACTAGTGTAAAACCATTCAATTTAATGCCAACCAGATCTGCAAATCGCTTACACAGTTAAACTCAATTTATAAAGTTCCAGACCAAATACTGTAAATTCAGAAATTATTGCGTGCATTTATTATTGCGATTTTGTTATTTTAAACTAAAATGGGATTTTAATTTTTGCGATATTGAAAAAAATCCTGTTTAATTTATATACAAAATTTCAAAATGCGAGTTTAAATTATTGCGATTATTACCCTGTCGCATTTTTCGCAATAATAAAAACATCGCAATAATTTCTGAATTTACAATATCAAATTGTTCCTTCATACAGATCATGATGTTGAGTAATTTTAAACAAAAGATGATCATGAGTGGATGTATAATAAAGTGTTGCAATACTTCATATTTGTTCGGGTGTTAGTGAAGACCTATATTCATTGTTTTTTATGCTTTAACAAAAATGTAAAGATTCTAGAGTAAATACTTTTTAATGTATAATTGAAATTTCAATAAATGTGTAATGATAACTTAACGATTATTCAGTTATATATACATGTACCGTAAATTCATAAATTTTTGGGTGCATTTATCATTGCCAGTTTTGAATAAAATTGAGAATGGAAACGGGGAATGCGTCAAAGAGACAACAACCCGACCAAAGTGCAGAAAACAGCCCAAGAATGAACAAAAAAATGAGATTAATTATTGTGATTTCAGGAAAATCTGCATATATTCATATGTATCAAATTCAGAATGATACTCACACAATCGCAAATACTCACCATAATAAAGAAACTCACAATAATTAATTTAGTGTTAATTTGTACCTACTTCAGCTTTTACTAATATATCTGGTAAATATTTGTACTTACTTTAGCTTTTACTAATATATCTGGTAAATATTTGTACTTACTTTAGCTTTTACTAATATATCTGGTAAATATTTGTACTTACTTTAGCTTTTACTAATATCTGGTAAATATTTGTACTTACTTTAGCTTTTACTAATATATCTGGTAAATATTTGTACTTACTTTAGCTTTTACTAATATATCTGGTAAATATTTGTACTTACTTTAGCTTTTACTAATATATCTGGTAAATATTTGTACTTACTTTAGCTTTTACTAATATATCTGGTAAATATTTGTACTTACTTTAGCTTTTACTAATATCTGGTAAATATTTGTACTTACTTTAGCTTTTACTAATATATCTGGTAAATATTTGTACTTACTTTAGCTTTTACTAATATATCTGGTAAATATTTGTACTTACTTTAGCTTTTACTAATATATCTGGTAAATATTTTAAAAATGGAAAATCAAATAATGTTCTAGCTATATCAGGTAACGATGAAAATGTATTCTCTATCACTAATACAGCTATATGACGTTCATATAATGACTGTGATGCTAAATGTACAGCTACAGCGCCACCTAGTGAGCGTCCAAACACTATTAATTTGTTACGGTCTATATCTGTCCTTTTTAATAAAAAGTCTATAGCTGCCTCTGCATCTTTGTATAAACCTGAAATAAAGAGATTGATGATTGATTGATTGATTGGTGTTTAATGCCAATTTCAGCACTATTGCGCTATTTTATGGCCGTCAGTTTTTATTGGTGGAGGAAGCTGGAGTGCATGTGAAAAACCACTGACCTTTGGTAGGAACTGATATCCGTAGTCAATTAGGATTGATTCACCTACAATGTGTCAGATTCAAACTCACAACCCCAGTCTCAGTGTTGACAGGCTAGTGATACAGTAGTTCAACTATTTTTAAAAGACCACTTTGCCCCTTTTGAAATAAAGAGAATGTTATTCAATGATCTACAAGCACACTACAGCTCACACGGATTTTACTTTTTACAGTCTTTCAGATTCTTCTAGATTGACCATTCTACCTGTCCTATGGAGGGACATTCTAAATTGACCGTTTTACATGTCCTTTGGGTAGATTTATAATTAATTGCAGTTCAAAAAATATCTTTGCATATTATTCTAGTATTTGTTTTTGTTTTAAAATCTGCAACTACTTTTGAGTTTGTTTTTATTTTTTTCTGGATTTTGGTGGTACTAATTTGTGGACTTTGTGCTTGAAGATCTTCTACAGAATTTGTTCAATGAGTCTGTAGTTTGCTCTTGTTTTGCAAGAAAAAAAAGGGAAAAAAAAGAATATATTATTAAAGTTCAACTTTTCTTTACCGAATGAAATGCTGTCTATGCCATTGTCTGCAAGTGACAAGTTTGATTGCAATGCATGAGCTAACCTCCTAACAAACATGAAAAGTCAAACTAACTTTTGTAAAACTACTTTTCCATGTTTGTTTGTTGGTGAATAATGCCACTTTCAGAGACCATGGCTCAGGGCTTCCAAAACGGTCATATATTCCGGACTTGACCGAAACTTTCATAAAAAGTCCGGCTGCTCTCAGCCTCAAATGGTCAAATAGAATTGGTTTGCCACTTTTTGTTATTCAAGGCATTTTCATAAAACGGTCATTTCAATTTTTACCAACTATCGATCGATAAAAATGTCTGTTTGGGGCTTTGGGCATGTCCGTTTGGGCATTTTAGTTTATAATTGTGGCAATCTATTTCACAAAGATATTTCGGTCATAATTGGGTTTAATAAAACAGATGCAGCATATTTCAGATACTTTGAAGTGTCTCAGTTAGTCTAATCCTCTGGGTACATAAATGTACGGCTTGGTCTTAAGCTTGTGTATTTCAATACAAAGTAGAAAAAACACGTTTTCTTTTATTTAAATAACAACAAGCTGTCAAACAATTATCACTTCAATAGTAATATTGAAGCCATAAATCATTCACTGATTACAGGTTGTTACCTTTGATGAGGTGTCCTAAGCTTGTCTTAATCAATAGAATTAATGATGCATAACAATGGACATAAAGGTGATCAGGTAAACGAGGTCAAACATGTAAGCGTGTATGGAACAATATCCTATTTAATTACGCTTTGTAGATATTATTTTAACTGAGCATTCAGTTTTAAAAAAAGTATCCTGAGATTTTAAATAATTCTTCAAATAAGAATATTTATAAATGAATTTGTATGATATTCATTATTATATTTAAACACTGTACATCGTGTTAAATACTGGGGTACACTAAAGGGTATTCAAAGTTATTTTCTTACATTTCAGCAGTTTGCATCTAATTAATTTAGTCTGAAAGATTGAAATTATAAGAAATACGTTAATAAATATGATTTGACGAAAAATTTAAAAAGGTTTTAAACGAATAATCGTCAGAACCACGTTGTTTGAACTAGTACACGTGTGCGCATGTGCGCTGGTGGGAAATTTAATTATGCATCCTAATTCTTCAAAAATGCTAAAATTATCATTGATACCTTTATCTAACGTTCATTTCGAGTAATTTCTTGAAGAAATAACTTGGAAAGAGCTACTTAACTCAATCATGCTTTGTGAACGTACACGGATTTTACGTATCCGTCTCCGGTCCGTGATTTACCATTGTCAAGTCAATATCCGGATTAGGGAAATGTGCTTTTTAAAAACGAAAGTAAAGTTTTTGCCAACGTTATTTTGCACAAATAAAGAGTCTAAGACAGAATAAGAACGCTGATGTTGCACACTTCGAATGATTGCACTTTCAATTTAACAGTTTACGTCAGAACATCAAATTTATATCAAAGTAAAGTTAAATATCGTTTTAATGTCAATCATTGGTTATAAACTTATATGATGGCCAACTGATTACCATAATTGCCTTTTGTTACTAAGTCTAAAGGGATTAAAATCGGGATAAGATATAAAATGTCCGGCTGCCTCAAATATTTTTTGGAAGCCCTGCCATGGCTATGTCATGCGCCTTTTTTTTAATTGTGAAGGAAGCCAGAGTTACCAAAGAGAACCACTGACCTTCAGCATTAAAATTAGCAATCCTTGTAAATTTAGATCAGAGTCAAAACATTTCACCTCAAGCAGGGTTCTAACATGCAACATCAGTTAACAGACTAGTGATAAATGTTGATAAACTTAGATCACTTAGCAACAGAGGTCGCCTCAACCCTCCTAACAGACATGGAAAGCTAATGGATCAACTTTTGTTAAACTTGTTTTGAAGAAAAAAATTGAAACATAAATTTTGAAAATCTGGATTTTTATTTTGGTGAAAAACAATTTTTGTGCATTGTTAGAAAGACATTTGTTGGGGTAGTTAGGGATCATAGATTTATTCTTACGAGGAAGCGCCGAGCATGCTCGTAAGAATAAATCTATGATCCCTTAATGTGTGAATTGCCAATGTATTGTATCAAAACTTAAAACTAGATGTTACTATGTTAAAACATTGCAGATTTTAATATAGACAAGAGTGCACATGCTGAAATGTCTTGCCTGCTTTACGGACCATTGATTTAATGTTGAAAGTCTTGTGAAGGTTTTACTACAAGTATCACATAAACTTAACATTTTTAAAGATCCATGACAATGAGGTCAAGGTCAGATAAATCCTGTCTGACAGACATGTACACCTCACAATTTTTCCGTACACCAAAGACAGTTGATGTATTGCTTATTGTAATTGAAAGACAGACCACAACACAAAAACAACATTGACGAATGAACCATGAAAATGAGGTCAAGGTCAGATGATATCAGCCAGACAGACATGTTCACCTTACAATCATTCGATACACCAAATATAGTTGACCTACTGCTTAAAGTACTTGAAAAACAGACCTAAACACAAGAACTTAACATTGACCAATAAACCATGAAAATAATGACAAGGTCAGATGAAACTTGCCAGACTGACATGTACTGACATCTACTGTTCAAGGTATGAAGCATCCGGATCTTCTACCTTCTGAAATATAAAGCTTTATACAAATAGTTTACATCTCCGTTGCCAGATTGTAATACCTATGTCTCACAGACAAAAATGATATTGAGATTTTCAATACTGTAAAATCATAATTTATTGCATGCATTTATTATTGCAATTTCGACATGACAGACCAAAAAGTGAGAATAATTTTTGCAACTACAGGAATAGCTGCATACAAATATATGTATCAGATATCAGAATACAAGTTCTCATTATTGCGATACTCACCCAGTCACATTATTCGCAATGACAACAACCTAACAATAATTTCTTAATTTACATTATTTAATAATTAATCTTACCATAACCTCTAACTCTACCAACAAATGTTGTTTTTAATACACTGTTCAAATACTTCCTGATGTACTAACCTCCTTCACTTGGAGAACCTTCACTCTTTCCATAACCTCTGTATTCTACTAACAAAATATTGTATTTACACTGTTCAAATAATGCAAGAGTATTCATCAACCTGAAAAACAAATTAAACAGAATAAATACACAGACACAATTGACAGAAGTACGATTTATATATAAACAAACAATTTGAAATGAAATTAAAAAGTTTTACAAGATAACAGAACCTGAGCTTTTTTAACTAACTTCATTTGTGAAAAAAAAACCATACTTGTTTGACAGGACACTTCACTTAACCCATAAAACTAATTAAGTTCTATTTTAAGAGTATGCTCCTGTACAAAGTCAAGAATTTCATCAGAGGATATCATCTCCTAAGATTGTATGTCTGTTTTGAAATTGATATGAGATATTTGGTTTTTTCTCTTGAATTAATTCACAACTTGTAAAAAGTTAATGTGACCAAGATGTGGTCATACTTTACAAGTATTTGTCAAATGCTTAGGACTGTCCTAATGACCTCAAGATGTATTTTTTGTCCTAAATGTCTTTTCTTCCTATCTATGGGACTGTATTACGACCTCCAAATTTACTTTTTGATAAGCTGTTATTGTTGAGTTGCTGTGACCTAAATGTCTTTTCTTCCTATTTATAGGACTGTATAACAACCTCCACATATACTTTTTGTTATTTTTCTTTTCATGGTTTTTCATTTTTTGTCATGGCATATTGTCAGTTTGTTTTCGACTTATGAGTTTGAATATCCCTTTGGTATCTTATGCCTCTCATTTATACAAGCATAAGTATGATAAAATACTTTCATAATTTTTATCAACTGCTTAAATATGATATCTTACCTTTTCACATAAATTCATAATTACTGGTACTGTGCGGTAGTATTATTTTTCATTTTAAAGAAACTATATGCAAGTGTATATTTAAAATTTAGCAGTTGTTTGACCTCTCTTTTCTTAATTTAAGGGAAAACTACATGCCAAAAGTTGGTGATACATGAAGATGATTATAATGTTGTTTACACCCTCTGGTGATACATGAAGATGATTATAATGTTGTTTACACCCTCTGGTGATACATGAAGATGATTATAATGTTGTTTACACCCTCTGGTGATACATGAAGATGATTATAATGTTGTTTACACCCTCTGGTGATACATGAAGATGATTATAATGTTGGTGATACATGAAGATGATTATAAAGTTGTTTACACTTTCTGCAAGTCATAAAACATATCTTATTTTCATGATATGTCTCAATTCAGAATTATTCCTGATTTTAAACTATGAAGTTGCTAGATCAATAAAATAAACAAGAATGCATACAATGCCATGTTATCAAAGTATACCCCATTAGTAACTCAAAGTATCGGTAAACAGGCAGTAAGTGTCCAACAGATCCCAAAAAGTGCTCACAATCAAATATAAAGTCATTCATAGCTTTTGTGAATAGAGTAATGAAAATATTTGTTTTCATTCAACATGTTCAAAGTATCAGCAAACCTATAGTATGTGTCTGACAGATCTGAAAGTGCTCACAAGTTACAACTCATCAGTGTCGTGCTTCTTGTCAAATATAAAATCCTTTTGTTCGATGGTTCCTGAGAAAAATGTGACAAAAATATTTGTTAGACGGACGGATCAACAGATGAAGGAACAAAGTGATTGCAATATGGCCCCTACTTGGAATAGTATAGAATTTTACTCTGTAGAAATTCAAATCACTGAAGTGTGACTCAAGGGCACACTCTAAAATGTTGATTGCAGCTGTGATGTTTGATTACAATTTGAAGAACAGAAAATTTGTGGAAAAGTAATATCTATGTTGTTTCTCATAAAACATTTTTGCAAGGAAAAGTTGTTTTTTATGGTCTAAACAAACCTGTGTCCAACATTACCAGCATTTCCATGGAAATAAATAATGGTTGGAACGTTTGGCTTTGGATGTTTGACTAAAACTAAGTTGATTTTCACTCCATCACTAGTATTCACAAAGTGGTTTTCATATGGCATTTGATAGGCATTTGGTAGCATAACATAAAGTCTAGAGTTTGGTGGCTGTTCTGGGTAATATAATAACATGTCCTGTGCATTAAAAAATATACCTGTAAATAAAAAGAAGGATATCAAAAAATATAAAAACATGTTATGTGCATTGAAAAATATTCCTGTAAAATAAACAAGTGAGTTGGTCAAATTGAATGGTTGATTCAATGCTGGTCAAAAATGATAAACTCATGACCTACCAGGGCTCGACAATAACGCTTGTCTGATTGTCCAGTACCAGAGGAAAAAAAGGTCGGACAAGTAAAAGCCATACCAAGCTTGTCCGACGGGACAAGTAAAATTATTCTGTAGAAAATAAATTAAATCCAACTTTGATGATCAAAGTAATAAACAAAAAACAAGAAAAGATAAAAACAAATGTTAATTTGACATGTTTACTTGCAATCGATAATTTAAAACTGGTTCCTTGTCAGATGCTTTATAACAGATAAAACGCATTCTATTCTTGGAAACCAGTCTTACGGATGGAATCAGCGATGTGCTTTGTAGATAAGGTAGCAATAAACAGTTAGGAAAAAATATTAAAATTTTCCCTCATAAATTTTACCATCCCCTTTTCATTGCCTTCTTGCAATATTAAGCTTACTGTTTGTGTCATATATGTGCATATGTATGTAATCAGAATCTTCCATAGATTTCATATCCAGTATATGAAATGGTAAAATATAATTTCTCCTTGGTGTATCCATGGCAACAATCTGCATTTTTTTGTTATAAAATATAGCAAAAAGGGGGGAAAAGATGTCACATATTTCCCCAAAATTTGACCAAAAGTAGAATTTCAATCACTTCAAGTAATACCTTTTCTGAAACTGTTTACATATATCTTTCAATAAATCCAATGAAAATCATATGTCTTTCGTCTCATTTTTTTGTAAAATTGCGTCAAAAACTTCGTGTAGAAAAAAGTGTTTGTAAACATTAAATTAATTTCTGGACCGATGACCGGTCTAGCTATGAAAATACGGAGAGTCAAACAGAAAATAGCCCATAAAACATGTAAAAAATACCACCTTTGAAGGCTAAATTAGTACTCAGCTGTCTAAAAATGAATTTTATTACACAATAACTTTCATATTTGAAAAATCCACCGGGGCCAAAATGCGAAACCAAACTCCTAACTGTGTATTGCTACCTAAGGTAACAAGACACTAGTTCGGAACCGGCACGGAAACGAATCGGCTCCATGTTTAATAGACAGTTCGGCACCTTAGGAGACATTTCGGGACCAAGACAAACCAGTACCTCATTTCCCTACCTTATTCTGTTGCTTTTTAATAAATATAATAAATTTTATTTAACAAAAATATTTTTCAAATAAAAATTCGTAATTGTTCCGCGGAACCCAGTGTCTCGCCTACTTTTGCTGTTAATCGCAGGCTCAACAAAAACGAGGAAAAAAATTAATAAAAATATTCCTCTCTATACTATCTTTTGATTGTAAGTAGCTTCTGTCCAAGTTTGGTAAAAATCCAGGATAGTTTATGAATCTAATAAATGTTTTAAAAACTTAAACTGCAGACTGTATGTAATGTTAACTGGAAGAAAAACTAAGTCCATTTATAAGTAAAATATGGAAAAAATGGAACAAAATTTTAACAAAATTACCTTCTAGATACATGCTTTTAGTTTAAGAAAGTTGTTAAAATTTTAAAAACTTTAACCACAGAGTGAATGTAATGTTAACTGGCAGAAAAACTAAGTCCATTTATAAGTAAAATACTGAAAAAATGATTTTTTTTTTACAAAATTTACTTCTGGATACTATCTTATGATCATAAACAAACTTCTTTCCAAGTTTGGTAGAAATCCAGGATAGTTTAAGAAAGTTATTAAAATTTCAAAAACTTTAACCACAGAGTGAATGTAATGTTTCCTGGCAGAAAAACTAAGTCCATTTATAAGTAAAATACGGGAAAAATGGATTTTTTTTTTTTTTTTTTACAAAATTTACTTTTGGATATTATCTTATGATCATAAACAAGCTTCTGTCCAAGTTTGGTAGAAATCCAGGATAGTTTAAGAAAGTTATTAAAATTTCAAAAACTTTAACCACAGAGTGAATATTTGTGGACGCCGCTGCCGCCGACGAAGACGGAATGTAGGATCGCTATGTCTCGCTTTTTCGACAAAAGTCATAGGCTCGACAAAGATAAAGAAATTATTGACCATAAAATTCATAAAATCATATTTGATCATATATGGACAAAACAATTTTTGATTGCGTTTGAATAAACATTTTAATATATTAACAAGAGTGCACACGCTGAAATGTCTCGCCTTCTTTACTAATCATTGATATTATGTTGATAGTCCTAAATATAAAGCTTTATTACAACTGTCACATAAACTTAACATTAACCAAGTAAACTAAACATTGACCAATGAACCATGAAAATGAGGTCAAGGTCAGATGAACCATGCTAGGCAGGCATGTACAGCTAACAATTCTTCCATACAACAAATATAGTTGACCTATTGCTTATAGTTTAAGAAAAACAGACGAAAACACAAAAACTTAACACTGAGCAATGAACCTTGAAAATGAGGTCAAGGTCAAATAAAACCTGCGTAACTGACATATAGATCATAAAATATTTCCATACACCAAATATAGTTGAACTATTGCATATAGTATTAGAAAAAAAGACCAAAACTCAAAAACTTAACTTTGACCACTGAACCATGAAAATGAGGTCAAGGTAAGATGACACCTGCCAGCTAGACATGTACACCTTACAATCATTCCATACACCAAATATAGCTGACCTATTGCATGCAGTATTAGAAAGAAAGACCAAAACTCAAAAACTTAACTTTGACCACTGAACCATGAAAATGAGGTCAAGGTCAGATGACACCTGCCAGCTAGACATGTACACCTTACAATCATTCCATACACCAAATATAGTAGACCTATTGCATACAGTATAAGAAAAACAGACCAAAACACAAAAACTTAACTATAACCACTGAACCATGAAAATGAGGTCAAGGTCAGATGACACCTGCCAGTTGGACATGTACACCTTACAGTCCTTCCATACACCGAATATACTAGACCTATTGCTTATAGTATCTGAGATATGGACTTGACCACGAAAACTTAACCTTGTTCACTGATCCATGAAATGAGGTCGAGGTCAAGTGAAAACTGTCTGACGGGCATGAGGACCTTGCAAGGTACGCACATACCAAATATAGTTATCCTATTACTTATAATAAGAGAGAATTTAACATTACAAAAAATCTGAACTTTTTTTTCAAGTAGTCACTGAACCATGAAAATGAGGTCAAGGACATTGGACATGTGACTGACGGAAACTTCGTAACATGAGGCATCCATATACAAAGTATGAAGCATCCAGGTCTTCCATCTTCTAAAATATAAAGCTTTTAAGAAGTTAGCTAATGCCGCCGCCGCCGCCGCCGGATTGCTATCCCTATGTCAAGCTTTCTGTGTCGCAGGCTCGACAAAAACAAAGCTGATTGTAGTAAGGCATCAATCATAATAATCAATATTTTATCCACATCAAAGACCAGGATACAAACCAAATGAGTGTAGACTGACAGGCCTACCAGACTGTGCCTCATGTGCAGAGTCTGGTGAGACTTCGGCATTGATGAAAACTAGAACCTAAGTCCTGTGACATGACTAGATTCAGTTGTTCTCGACTCAAATTTTTGAAAAGATATCAAGAGATATAAATCAAATTCTGTTCTATTGTTTTAATTCATTTTGTTCATTGAATTAGCTTAAAATCCAAAAAAGGTTAATATTTAAGATTTTTTTTGGACAAGTTACAATTCCATTTGGACAAGTAAGTTTTGGTATGTACTTGTCCTATTGGGCAAGTTGAAAAAAAGTTATTGTAGAGGCCAGCTGCCTACATGTACAATGTATGCATTAAAAATGTACCAGCAAAATAAAACAGCTGCAATTTCTGTTTATACATAGAGATACATGCATTGAATTTTATTTGAATAGACAGGATACACAATAAGTGTAAATAAATAACATTCCAGTAAAAAACTAGAGGCTCTCAAGAGCCTGTGTCGCTCACCTGTATTTACTGATGCTTTGAAAATCATGTAAAATAAGGTTAAAATCATAATTAATAGTATTAGATATTAGATATTATAATGATATCTAAGATAATAACAAAAAACTGCAAAATTTTTGTAAAATTACTAACTCAGGGGCAGCAACCCAACAACGGGTTGTCGGATTCGTCTGAAAATTTAAAAGCAGATAAATCTAAATCTGATGAACATTTTTGCCACCTGTCAGATTTGCTCTAAATGCTTTAGTTTCAGAGATATAAACCAAAAACTGCATTTTACCCCTATGTTCTATTTTTAACCAAGTCGGCCATGATGGTTGGAAGGCAGGGTCATTGGACAAAATTTTTAAACTAGATACCCTAATAATGATTATGGCCAAGTATGGTTAAATTTGTCTTAGTAGTTTCAGAGAGGAAGATTTTTGTAAAAGATTACAAAAATTTACAAAAAATTGTTAAAAATTTACTATTAAGGGCAATAACTCCTTAAGGGGTCGACTGACAATTTTGGTCATGGCAACTTATTTGTAGATCTTACTTTGCTGAACATTATTGCTGTTTACAGTTTATCTCTATCTATAATAATATTCAAGATAATAACCAAAAACTGCAAAATTTCCTTAAAATTACCATTTCAGGGGCAGCAACCCAACAACGGGTTGTCAGATTTGTCTGAAAATTTCAAGGCAGATAGATCTTGACCTGATTATCAGTTTTACCCTACGTCAGATTTACTCTAAATGCTTTGGTTTCAGAGATATAAGCCAAAATCTACATTTTACCCCTATGTTCTATTTTTAGCCATGGCGGCCATCTTAGTTGGTTGGCAAGGTCATCGGACACATTTTTTAAACTAAATACCCTAATGATGATTGTGGCCAAGTTTGGTTTAATTTGGCCCAGTGGTTTCAGAGGAGAAGATTTTTGTAAAAAGCTAACGACGACGGACGACAATGACGACGACAAAGACGCCGACGGACGCCAAGTGATGAGAAAGGCTCACTTGGTCCTTCGGGCACAGTGAGCTAAAAACATAGGGGTTTATTTTCACAAATTTTGAGTTTAGGACAAGATCACAAAATATCCCATTGATCTACATGAACTACTACAGGGCATTTAACAATCTTGTCTTCCGCCATCAGATGCCCATCTTGGATTGTAACATACCAGAAAACAATCGGTTATATATATTTAATATGATATATGCATATTTTGAGAGCTCATATTGAAGTTGATTGTTATTCTTTTCATCTAGACGAGGAAAATTATGTTTTATCTCATTTTTATGACTGTTTTTACAACATAAATATTTTTTGTTTGTTTCCATTTTTTTCCAACTTAGTCATATAAGGGGAGATCATCAAATTCTCTAAAGGAATGTCCAGTAAATTACAGCAATTTTAAATTTAGACCCCCCATCATGCCTATCTACCTTTACCTGATCAAGTTGTCCTTTTTCATTGAAATTTCACCCAAACTTTCATGAAGATATGTTGCTCAGCTTTAGTTTTCTATGAATATGATATAGTGTTTTGTGGTTTTTGTCAATTTTCATTTTTTGCACTGTTGGTCTCAGTTTCTCTTCAACTTATGAGTTTAGAAAGTCCCCATGGTATCTTTCTCCTCTTTTTTTTTAAACAAGAAAACACTGCAATCTGCCTTTTTCCTTAGGGGACGACCATTTGATATTCTGGGGGGGGCCAGGAGGATTTGTTTTGGATCGGTTATTTATTTTTGTAAACTAAGAGGACAGATTATCTATTTTCTGCACTATTGAAGCAAGATTTTTTATTTTCATTAAAGCAAGGGACTGATTATTTATTTTCACAACTATATTTATAATATTCGAAAACATACAATTTTTAAATTATTTGTTTATTATAAATAATTCATGTATAGTCAAGTCATTATGCATCATTTAATCAGAATTAATTATTATCCTCTGCAGAAATGATTCTTCTATATTCCCCAATGCATATACATGTATTGCATACATACACAGTATTAAAGTTTGGTTGTAACTAAGGCTGTTTTAAAAGTATTGGCAAACATGTTTAGCCGAGCGGAGCGAGGCAAAATTTTTTTTGAAGGGTTTTTGAACCGCTGAAGGCCCAAGAAGCTATAGAACAAATGATGCAAAATCATGCCTTCTGGGTGTTCCCCAGACCCTTTCTTAAACTGAAAATGCAAGTTCTGTTTTAATAATTTTATGACAATATTTTGGTCTCAAAGCAAAATCACGTTATAGATTCAGTGTAAGACTTTAGTTTCTAGGGACAACATCAAAAGACAAATATGCATGATAAAGCAAAAATGTAATTCACGTAGTTAAGTCTGTGGCTGCTGTGTTTTTTTAAACTCATGATCAAGTTAATAATAAAATTACTAAATTATAAAATGAATGCAACACTAACAGAATACAGAAGGGCAATCAATGAACAAAAGACAAATAAATAAGAAACATTGATCCTGAAAAATCAGGGGCTACGTCTGAGGGAGAACAGAACTTGCTTCTTGCAAGGCACTCACGGTGAACACAATTTTATATGGAGACAATCGTTTGGTTTTGAAATTTCCTACATGAGGCATTTGTCTCAATGTAGTTACGGCCCTGATTTAATAAAAGTGAGGTAAGTGTTCCTGAGACAATTAACCTCAAGTTAAATGAAACCAATTTTCTGACATTTCAAGTATATTTAAATAATATTTATACTTTTATTATTAAAAATATGGGAAGTGTTTCCCGATTTTTTTTTTTGAAAAAAGATGAATTTATGAAGAATCTGGTGCCATCTCATACTTTCGATTAGACCTGCTGAGTTATTTATTTTCAATACATTGCAAGTCAGGTAATTTATTTTCAAACTACCACAGAACAAACCATTTATTTTTGTGATTATCAAGGCTGAGTTATTTATTTTCAAAATCCTCCTGGCCCCCCCCAGAATATCAAATGGTCGTCCCCTTAAAACAGTGCCCAATTACCCTTAAATTTTAGCTACCAGTATGCACACTTTAATCAACTTCAGGATAATTTTAGCAGACATGGTACATGTTGACCTAGTCCAAATAATAATGACGTCTTGAAAAGTCACAGCAAAAAAATAAAATTAGCCTTTCAATAGGTCATCATTGTTTGGACTAATGTTGACCATGATTTTTAGTATGTATTGTTACGTCTTACGAGATGCAGTGGTACAAGTTGTCAATGCTTTGAGTTTGCGATTTTAATATGTATTGATATGGTACAAGCTTACTTGCTACCCAACCTTCAAACATACATAAATACTATATGATGACTTGATGTAGTTAAAAAATTACCAATCACAGCCACTATAAAGAATCCTAGAGCTATCAAGGCTCCAGTGAACCAGTATACCAAAAACAATATAAGCAAAGCTGAACTACACAACTTCCAAAATCTTGCTGCAACTGCCACACAGATTCTGACTAGAAATCTGACGATCTGTAGTTTTCTTCCCATCTTTGACCTGGTTGATGACGGTCCAGAATCTGTTGTCGATTTCTCTAAATGAAGATCTTTTGCTATTTCTACATTTTTACTCATACTAAAAAGATACTATACTAAAATTGTGTATTGTTTTTGAATTTCAGATTTGAAAGGAAGATATATAGTTTGACACTTTCAGTTTTGTAACTTTAGGAAACATTCCACGTCGTCCATATTGAAACAGTAACCATTCGGAAGTACACGATTTTGAAAAGTCTAGAGTTGCACACTGATTGCGTTCGAATATTTTTGTTAAGCATGCTTTGCAATGTTTCGGGCTTGTACACAAAACTGGAAATTAAGTACATTTTTTGTGAATAAAAAGAAATCTATGAGATAGAATTTTGAAATAAAATATGAGAAGATAGGTTTTAAAATATGCTTTGAGAAAATAAAAAGAAAAATGTTGCCACAGACCTTGTTTTCTTGCTACAAGTAAAAATTGAAAATTTCTCTATCATTCCTTTATAGAAATTTTGCTATTTGAGTTATCTCCCCTTCAATGGATAAGTTGACAATTTGATTCGAACAAACACAAATATTTGATATTTGATAAATCAGTCTGCATAATGCAATAAATCACTTATTTTTCTTTATTCCAATAAACAGTCTAACCCATTAATTGCCATTAGATTCAAACATGCCTGCATAGTAAAGGTGTACTCGACTATACAATAACCATGCATGGTTAGATTTATATAACCCACATTGGAGGGGGTGGACAGGGGGGTACCCTTCTCCCACCTCCCGTCCCCATCTCCCCGTGACCTCCCACTTTTAGAATCTTTTTTTCTCTCCCACCTCCCGCCCCCATCCCCCCCCCACCTTCCACCTCCCTCAAAAGCTGTCCACCCCCTCACATTGGGAATTTCAATATTTCTTCTTCATTGTATTGTTTCTGGGGGCAGAGATGCGATTTATGCCTTTTATCATATAAATTGGCAGTACGTATGTGATTTTTTTCAATGTAATTTATGAGAATGCATTTACAAGATCCAAAATCGTTTGCATTTAACAAAATACGTCATTATTTTATTAGTTGCCTTTAATATAAAAATGCTGAGGTGTCTCGCCTGCTTTACTTTTCATGATTGCATTTATGTCGAAAGTTTGTTTTATGAAGGTTTTACTACAATTATCACATAAACTTACCATTATCAATGATCCATGTAAATGAGGGCAACGTCAGATAAACAGAAAGTTCAAGGGGCGGAGTTAGGGGGCAGGGAGGCCCGGTTCCCCCTTATGGAGCTTCATATAAAAGAAATGCATAGCCATATGGCTGACTTTTTACAGTATAATAGTCCCAGCTTAAGTATCATTCCATACATTGGCTTGCCAGCCCCCTTTCAAAATCATGGATATTCGCACCTGAAGACAGGCATGTTCATCTTACAATAATACCATGCACCAAATAGTGTCCGTCTGATGAGAAACAGACATTATTAAAAAAAATTAAAAATTGAACACTGAACACTGAACCATAAAATGAGGTTAAGTCAGATGAACCCTACCAGACAACATGTATGTTCACCATGCATTCATTCAATGTAACAAATAAAATTGACCTATTGTTTATATGATTCCATTCTTTCTCTGTATGGAGTCTGCCTCAAGCTAATTAAATTGCAACTAGGTAATGCATATAACATTTTTTATTCGAGCGTCACTTATAAGTCGTTTGTAGACGAAACGTGCGTCTGGCGTGCAACATTATAAGCTGGACTGGTATCTTTAGTTTAATGAGTTTTTTTTATACAACCACTCTGTGACTATTATAATAACAAGGTAATCGATACGATTATCGAGTGTCAAGTCCTGTCAATATATTATATGTCCCAGAACCACTGTATCCGATGCCACTGCTGGAGGAAGTTTCCTCCCCGAAGGTAACACCAGCCCAGTACTAAGCACTTCTGTGTTGACATGAAATGTCATTGATATGGTAATATTGATAAATTAACTGTTTACAAAGCTTTGAATTGAAAACCTGGGACATAATATATTGACGTTCGTATAATAGTCCCAGGAAAACCTAAGGATTTTCTACACCAGGAATAGATCATCTTAGCTTTATTTGACAAACCCTTTCTGGATTTTTTGGTATCCTCCATGCTCTTTACCTTCGTACTTTATTTGACCTTGTGACAGAAGATCTGTATTTTAATAATTTTGTTTTACAATATATATATGATGTCCCTTATGGAAACAAGACGAGTGATTGATTGTTGTTCTTAAACTTAAATCGGTCAGTTTGTCTCTTTAGATTACAAGCAGTTGTCTCTTGATTTTTTTAACCTATATACTTTAATATTAAATATTATTTATGTTATATCAAAATATATAGGTAGATTTTTTGAGACAACTGCCATGTTTATACAGAGGAATTCTGAAGGCGGGAGGTCGTGTTATGAATTATTGCCAGGTAATTCCTTTAAACAGAAAAAAATCGGCGAGTCATAAATTTATTGGACGATTTTACGACGAAAAATTATATATTTTCCAATCAAAATAGTTGACGTACGCCCGACGTCTTCGGTTGTATTGCATTCCTGAGAATAGGATTTGTTTAGATAGTGAAAGAGATGAGAAAGATACCAGAGGAACATTCAAACTCGTAAGTAGAAAATAAACTGACAACGCCATGGCTAAAAAAGAAAAAGACAAACAGACAAACAATAGCACACAAAACAACATAGAAAACTAAAGACTGAGCAACACGTACGAACCCCACCAAAAACTGGGGGTGATCTCAGGTGCTCCGAAAGGATAAGCAGATCCTGCTCCACGTGTGGCACCCTTCGTGTTGCTCATGTTAGTACAAACCCGGTAATAAGTCTAATTCGGTAGGTCTCATTCGAAAAAAGGGACGGAATTTTCCATAACGGTCAACCAACTCGTTATGGCATCCGTAAAACTTATGTAGGGATGATTTCAACTTCACCACTTGGAACTCTTGGTTTAATAGCTTCCTTGTTAGCAGCAACCCACTATCAAGGAAATAATCGTATCAACTGGGAGATATATACTCCGTATGCAGGTGCTGTTGGAATGTTGCTACATAGAAATGGAAAGTTCACAATTGGGAATATGAAATCACCTCTTTTGTCGTCAAGTTTTGTTTTCAACCGACCCTCATTGTCAATTTCTAGATGTAAGTCAAGATATGAGGCAGACTTACAGCACAAAGACTTGAGTGTTACAGAAGGTGTAAACATAAACTTAATCGGGTTAAATCTTTGAGATCCGTTCACTATGCTCACGGCATGAATTTATGGTATTTGTGTTCTTTTGATTCATATAAACAAAAGCCAATAGCAGGACGATAACGCATGAAAATAGGTAATTTAAACAGAGTATTTTAGTGGACAGTATCAAAGAAAATTTAGATTTTTATCTTACCATATTCTGCAGTGATAAAAAAAACAAAATGCACATCAAAATACGGGAAAGTGTTTTTCAGAATCAAAATGCATGTAACTTTCATATACATGTACACAAAACAAAACAAAATAAATATATACAAATTAGTTCTGCAAGGCTGACAAGTTTAAAATTGACAATGTGTCAAAGAGACAACAACCCGACCAAAGAGCAGAAAACAGCCCGAGGCCACCAATGGGTCTTCAACACAGAGAGAAAATAAGTTTATTTTTACACCTTCTGTAGCACTCCCCCGAAAAATACACATTGAAATAAAAGAAAACGGAATATCTCTTTCACAGATGTGTGACCTACCAAATTAGACTTATTACCGGGTTTGTACTAATATGAGCAACACAACGGGTGCCACATGTGGAGCAGAATCTGCTTACCCTTTCGGAGCACCTGAGATCTCCCCCAGCTTTTGGTGGGGTTCGTGTCTTTCTTATTTCATATATATAAACATATTTAATAAGAATATGATTTTTTTTAAATCGATTAAATCATTGTAACCTTCTGCTTACAGTAGAATTACACATGCAAATATAAATGAAGGTAATGGATTACATGAAATAATTTGACAGATCGAACACATCTACAACATGCTTGAGAATTAGCTTATAATTGACACTCGATTTTAAATTTTGATTATTTTTTTTTTTAACTGACTTGTAAAACTGGTTTCATAGTGGTTATATACTGTCCCTACTTTTGATTGGTTCTCTGCTTAACTTTTGACTCCACCCCAAGGAAGGTTGGACCTTGGCTAATAATGTTCATGGTTCAGCTAGCAAGCAAGCTCACCAAAGATACTAGCTTTACCTAGACACTCAAATCACAGGCACTTGTCTCAGAAAAAAATTCTGAGACAAGTGCCTGTGACTCAAGTCTATGTGCTGTAACTGTATCTGTTGTGTCCTTTATCTCAAGTTCGATGGGATATATGCGTTCATCATAGTCAACCAAATTTTGAATTATTTAGTGAGAGAACATCATCTATAAGCAGAGTAAAGTTAAAGGATACTGCTAACTTCTTTTTTTTTGTTCTTAAGAAGTTCCCTCATATGAATAAAGGAACAAGTCGGCAGGAAGAGGGGCACAGTTTGTTCCCATGGGAATGCCGATTGTTTATTGAAAAACACGTCCTCCAAACGTAACAAATATATTGTCAATCAAGAAATCAAGCATCTTGATAATGTCAGTTTCAGAGAATTTTTTGTTTCACAGTAACTCTAAACGAAAACAAGTTCATGATCTGGAAAGTGGAGTATTTGATAAACCCAACAATATAGTTTTTACAAAGATTATCTGGCTTGTTGATTTAAATTCTTATCTAATATAAAAGAGATGTGCGATTGCCAATGTGCTCTCTTAAAGTTGCAGTGTATATTCCTTTCCAAAGTGAATTGTCAACAATAGAGTTTTCCATATACATGCGTGTCTGGATGGGGGATTCTTCATGCCTGCATCCTTTATTTTTTCTGTCGTTTTTTCTCTTCTTTCTAATGACCATAAATATCTATTCTTTATATTTTAGCACCCCATTATTCTCTATTCTTTTATTTATTTGTCCTTAATTCTGCACTTTTTTAACCATTTTTCTCCATTCTGTAAACCTCATACATGTATGTATTACAATATTTCAGGTCTATTTACTTTACGTTTTGTAGGCTAGTGCTGTTGACATTGAATTAGTTGAGAGCTATAACCTAGCCTGGCAGGGTTTCACAAGTGCATTCATGAGACTTTTTAAGACTGTCAATAACAAGATCCTTTAAAATGGC